GGAAGCCCTAACCCACTGAGCTACCCAGCCTGGATTAAACAAGGTTAAACCAGGTTATTTTATGTAGGGTTCTAAGAATGCCAATGTGTACCCTGGCCAGTGTAGCTCAGTTGATTGTCATCCTGTGCACCGAAATGTTGCCAGTTCTATTCCTAGTCAGGGCACATGCCCAGTTTGTGGGGTCCATCCTAGGTCGGGCACATGTGGGAGGCAACCCATCAATGTCTCTCTCTCTCTTTCAAATCAATATGAAAATATACACATATAAAATGCCAGTGTATGTCATGTATCCAGAAAGTAATGGTATTTGGTTTTTCCCAGTGTATTTGGCCAGGAAGCTTTTTTCCCCCATAACAACGTTCTCATTCAAACATTAAAATATTTAAACTAGATTTATTCTGATCATTTCACAATATATACAAATATCAAATCCTTACGTTATTCACCTGAAACTAATATAATGTTGTATCTTTATTTTTTTAATCTTCACCCGAGGATTTTTAAAATTGATTTTAGAAAGGAAGGGAGGAGAAGAGGAGAGTGGGGAGGGGGGGGTGGAGAAGACAGACAGACATCGATTTAAGAAACATCGATAGGTTGCCTCCCATACTCACTCCCAACCGCAACCTCCATATGTGCTCTGACAGGGAATGGAACCTGCAACCTTTTTGTATACAGGATGATACTCCAACCGAGCCATCCGACCAGGGCAATTATATCTCAATTTTTTAAAAATAGTTTAAATGACCTGATCTTAACCCACTTGTCTTCTTTACCTATTGGCAAACTACAACTGCTTCAAGCTATGCTGTCCAATATGGTAGCCACTAGTCAAAGGGAACTATTTAACTATAAATTAGAATTAAATAAAATTTAAAATTCAGTTCCTCAGTCACACTAGCCACATGGCAAGTCTTTTAGACTTGCGTCAGCCTGGCCAGTGTGGCTCAGTGGTTGAGCGTTGACCTATGAACCAGGAGGTCACGGTTCGATTCCCACAGGTTGGGCTCCATCCCCAGTAGAAGGCAGCTGATCAATGACTCCCGTCATTGATGTTTTTCTTACTCTCTCTTCCTTCCTCTCTGAAATCAATAAAAAGGTATTTAAAAAAAAGACTTGCTTCAAGGGCCCCATATGACTAATGGCTACCAAATTAGACAGCACAGATACAGACTATTTCTGTCATTGGAGAAAGTTGTTGGTTGGACAACACTGGGTTAAAGGTTTGCTTTTGTTTTTTAAAAAACATGAGGCCTGTACAATTTCCAGAAAAGCACGTTGTGAATTGTTTACATGGAATTACCACTGTCCCCCCATAAATGAGGTGCTGTCAGGAATGCTTGGTGGGTCTGGCTACTGCCATCTCATACCCAAAGAAGTGGGAAATGAATAGGAGAGAAAGCAACACTGCACAGCAGGGAGATGAAGCTGATATTGGGATTTGGGAGATCTGGGTACTACCCCCTAGTAGGTCAATGATTTGTTTAAGAATTTTAAAATATCTGTACTTGGTACTACTTTGGGCCTTAGTTTTTTCCTCTTTTACTATATAAATTTGAATTGTGTGATCTCTAAAATTACCTCTAGCTCTGAATGGTTAAAACATACACACACACGAAATGAGGTGAGAAACAAAGGTAAAAATAAAAGAGAACAAGATCATTGCATATTGATGGTGGAACTGGCACTCTGGTCAGCCTGGCACAAGTTCTACTCTTGAGAGATTAAGATTTGGATACCACCACCGGAAGAAAGATTCACCTGGACTCAATAAATGCCATTGAGCAATTATTTACAATGAACTGTGCTATTTGGAAGTAGCACCCAAAATAAGTAATCATTGGTGGTAGTCTTAGTTTTAGCCTAAGACCAAGTTGGTGAAGGAATCCAAGACTCACAACACTTAAGTTTGTAAAACGGGTTCATTAACATGTTAATAATCTAATCTAATCTACTAAGAAACACAAAAGAATCTTAAAATCTTGAGAAGATGCAACTAACAAATCACATAAAATCATATACAACGTACAAACTCAGGGCATAATCAAAATTCTACGAGAATATAAACAACAAATGCTACAGGTACTTGGAAATAGGAAGACGCCAATTCTGCCCACCCTAATTGCTCTCTAGAGTCTAGAACCCACACTTAACTAGGAAGCCCTACATTTTCTGTGTTAAAAGATTCTTGACTTTAATCGGGGTTACTGGGATTAAGTAAATTATCCATTGGTTGTGCCAGACAAAATAAAATGCAACCGGAATTCTCGCCTCAGATACCTACTACTGCACACCCCACGTTTTAGGGGGCCCGGTGGGTCCTACTTCCTAGGATCCAAGGAGAGAGAAAACGTTCCACATCCCTTTCCTGAGGATTTAGATCTAATATGAAAATTAAAAATGATTTTTTTTACCTGCAGGCTTAAAAAAAAACACCACTAAGATAAACTGCGTTTGACATTTTACCTTGCAGAACCTCAGGTGATCAGTGTGAGTCGAGTTAACCTCCCTACGAATTCAAACTCGTTACAGCCCCAAAACATAGCCGGCAAGATTTGGGAGCAGTGGAGAGCGAGTATGAAAGCCACCACCGAGGAAAACAGGAAGGAAAGGATTTTAGCGACAAGCCTTCCCTCTGGAAAGGCCGTTTTTTTGGATGCGCCACCTACAAATCCCACGCCGGGGACCGCATCGCGCGGAAACCCTGCCGAATTTGAAAACAAACGTCGGCCAAGGCTCCGGGAGGAGCGGGCGGGGGGACGGGGCAGGGGGTGAGTAACTGACAGCTCGGCCTGGAAACCAACAGCCTCAAGTAGGTCAGGCTGTGTCCACGGGGTGCGATCCAGGGGCCGCCCCGGTGGGCGCGGGGGCGCGGGGCAGCCAGAGGCGGGCACGGCTTGGGCGTCTTTCCGAGCGAAAGGGGCGGGATATCTGCGCCGAGAGAGACCCAGAGCCCCAGCCCGCGGCCGCCCGCCGGCTCTCACCTCTCTTGGGGGCCTTGAG